GGCTGGATTCGAACCCACCACCTTAGGTGTATGTGGCTGGCATCTTAGCCACTCGAGCCACAGGTGCCAAGCCAAACGTAAATGATGTTAAAGGCAGAGATTATCAGACTGGTAAAAAAACAAAGACCCAACAAAATGTTAGTACAAGAAAATGTGGAAATTACTGAAACAAAGTGAACAAACACTAAAGAAAGCTAATCAAACCAAAACTAGTTCTTTGAAAAACCAATAAAATTGATAAACCTTTGGCTGTACTGATCAAAGAAAAAGGAGAAAAAACCTACAAATTACCAATATGAGATGGAAGAAGGGAAGTCACTATGAATTCTGCAAACATTAAAAAATGATAAATTAGTTATGCCAATAAATATGATAATTTGGATGAAATTGGCAAATTACTTGAAAGCACAAATTACCAAAACTGTCACAAGAAAAAATACAACATCTGAATAGCCATATATCTAATAAACAAATTGTAATTAAAAACCCTTCTCACAAAGAAAACTGCTGGCCTCACTGGTGAATTATGTAAAATATTCTATAAAACATTTAAGGAAAAGTTATTGTCAGTTTTTTACAAAGAGGAGAAAGGAACATTTGGATTCATTCTATAAGGTCAGCATTATCCTATACCAAAATCATAACAAATACATAATAGAATAGTAATAAATGTTCCCTAAACTTTTAAAAATTCTTTGGTTTAAAAATTTGCTCCCCACCCCCAGGGATCACGCCTATGGTTCATCCTATAAGGGTACATGTGAATCTCTCTAATTGTAGAATATAAATGTCTTAACACAATAACTAAAAAAAAGACATGAAGGCTATGTTAACTAGTCGGATAAAAGTATTTCAAATTGTATACAGAAACAGTACAGTGTACCCCATGATAGTATTAATGTACACTACTGTGATTTAATTATAAAAAAAAGGAAAAGAAAAAAAATTGCCCCCCAAAAAATAAACCTGGGGCAGGGACTAGCTGTGTGGGACCACAGCCCTGAGGCCCATGTACCTTCTGCTCACATGTGGAATTGTCATGGGGTATCCCCACCACCTTCCTGAGAGTGTAGCAGCGTCCTGTCCCCTCTGCTCCAGAGCTCCTGCTGGATTCCTGACATAGATTCCTTCATTGGTTTACTCTCACTGTCTGTCTCCCTCAAATCTCAGTGCCTAGTAAGCAGGGCAGTCTTCCACTGTAAGACCTGGTGGCTTCTGTGAAGGCACCTCCATGTCATCATGCGGATAGCGGGGACTATAGGCTTATGCCTTCATGCCCAGCTAATTTTCATTATTTTTGCAAATAGGGTCTCTGTGTTGTCCAGGCTAGTCTCAAACTCTTGCTTCAAGCAGTCCTCCCACTTCAACCTCCCAAAGTGCTAGAATTACAGGCATGAACCACTGTACCCAGCTACCTTTAAGGGACTTCACAGGCCCTAGGATAGCACAGGGGCTTGTGATCTTATCTTATAATCTTTGTCCTATGACTGGAGTGTTCCATCCACCTGTTGAGGTTTGAATCCACATCTGTGTGCTACTCTGGTACATTGGAATTTGTGCTCCTGGTTGGGCTCACACGGTTACCTGCTCTCCAAACCCCACACCTGATCACCTCAACCCCACTGGCTCAGGGAGTCTGATCTGTAGTTTGCAGACTCTGCAGATTGTGTGGTATTAAGCTGGTGTGAGGTGTGTTTGGTGAGTCCATGTCCTGGGGACCTCGTAAGTCCTGAGTGCACAGTGTGGTCCACAGGTGCCTCAGGACCACTGGTCCAAAAGACATCAGGAAAACTTAACCAGAGGTTTTTCTGATCTTCACATAACCTCAGAACTCAGTGCATTTGTGAGCTCAGGCTTATTTTTGTTCAGGAGTTTCCAAGGGCAGTGGGGGAAGATGGGTGCAGAGTGGGGGAAGGTGGGCCTAGGGCCTGATTCTAGAGTCATCAGGGCTGTGGGAGTCTCAGCCTTCAGAGGAATGAGGGTACTTTGCCAGGTCCTTGGTGTGAGGAGCTGAGCTGTTGAGAGGGGCCATCCCCTGCATGTCTGTCTGTAACTTGCACAGCCCAGGCCGGGCCTGGGGCTCTGAGGCCCCACTGGAGCACAAAGCAGAGCCACCCCACCCAGAGGGCACTAAGAGCTCTCTGACCACCCTCTGAGCTTCCTGCTCACTCTGGGGACCTCACTGTGGGCGCTGAGCCTGTGGGGTGGGATACACCTGGCACCCTACACTGCCTGGTTCTGTGTGGTAGTGTCCCTGACACCCGCAAGGCCCACGGAGCATGGTGCATCCATTCCCCTCACCAGCGTCACTGGGCGCCTGTTAAATGTGTGTCCTGTTACTACGCACCTGAGCAGAAAGGTGTAAGGACAGCAGTGACATCTGTTGGGAATAGGTCTTTATTCAAACACAAAGAGATCAGTAATGTGAAAATGCCATGTGAGGTTCCCGAAACTGCCCTGTGTTTTCAGGTCTCATGCTGCTGCCCCGCTTGAATCTGGCACCAGTTCTGAGGTATCTCACTGCCGCATAGGTGCCTGCACCTGCACCAGGGAGGTCATCTTACCTGGGTGCTGGTGCAGGTGCTATCTGCAGGAAGGCAGCTTCACAGGCGGCAATAAATTACAGTGGGACAGTTTACAGCAGCCCCTCGAGGAGCCCTTAGGAAGAAGCTGAACAAGTTCTGTTCCCAGACCTCTCCTCCCTGTGCCCCAGACCCAAGCACCCCAAGGTTCAAGGAGTCCTGGGGGCTGTAGGGCTCTGGTCTTAGACACAGTTATCAGGGACACACTCAGCCTCTTCTTTGAGCTCGGGGCAGGGGGTCCCATCATTGGCAGGCTGCACTCGGACATAACGCGTTCTGGTCTTGGCTCCTAACTTCCCACAGGGGCCTGTGCATAGCCCCCAGGATGACCACAGGGAGACCTCACAGTCCAGTGGCGTCTCTGGACCTGCACCAAGCACAAGTGAGACCGTGAACACCAATGGAAGAGGTGCTTGGGGATGCCCTCTACAGGCTTGAAGAGACACACCTGCAGAGGAAGCTACAGGATGGAGGCATAGTACAGACTCCTACCAGTTGCCCATCTGGAGCCTACCGGCTGGGTGCCAAGTGCCATCACCCAAAGCTGGCATCTAGGGCTTTGGAAACAGACCCGGGAGAGGGGAGGACGCTTCTGCTGCAGACACTGCTCCGACCAGAGTCCAGACTTGCCCATCTACCCTAACGCTGACATTGGGCTGAGTAGGGCTTGTGGGGCCTTGTCCTTCATGAAGCTCATTTTCGGTGCTGTTGCTCTTATTGTCCTGTGTCACAGTTGTTTTTGTCAACTTAAAAATAATTAATTTGCACTCTAGGAGGCCAAGCAGGTGGGTTGCCTGAGCTCAGGAGTTTGAGACCAGCCTGAGCAAGAGTGAGGCCCAGTCTCTTAAAAAAAACAGCTGGGTGTTATGGCGGGTACCTATAGTCCCAGCTACTTCGGAGGCTGAGGCAAGAGAATCCGTTGAGCCCAAGAGTCTGAGGTTGTTGTGAGCTATGATGCTACAGCACTCAACCCCAGAGCAACTGAGTGAGACTTTGTCTCAAAAAAATAAATCAGTCTCAGTGGTTATGGCACCGGCCATGTGCACCAAGGCTGGTGGGTTCGAACCCAGCCCAGGCCAGCTAAACAACAATGACTACTACAACGACAACAACAAAAAATAGTCGAGCAATGTGGCAGGTGCCTTTAGTCCCAGCTACTTGGGAGGCTGAGGCAAGACAATTGCTTAAGCCCAAGAGTTTGAGGTTACTATGAGCTGTGACACCACAGCACTCTACCAAGGGCAACATAGTGAGACTCTGTTTCAAAAAAAAAATCATTAATTTGGGGTGATGGTTGAATCACTGGGTAAAATCTATTTTTTCAAAGCAAAGGGGAAATGCCTTGTATGTGCACCACATGCCAAACCAGCAGATGGGCAGTGTTTCTCCATGGCTTCAGGGCCAGGGTGGGCAGCCCCTAGGTGACCAGGAGCCCAACCTTGCTCAGCTGTGCATGTGAGGACAGCGTGATGTCCTCAGCCAGCATCAGGGCACTGGGTCCACTCAGCTCTCCTAGTACACCCTGCCAGTTCCTGTGACCAGCTCTGTGGCAGCTGAAGGATAAGAACCCCAGAAACAACTGACAGGTGCTTGGTGGATTTGGGAAGGAAAGCAGACTACAGGGAAGGGGCCACGGCGGCCAGCCTGCGGGGAACACCTGAGCCTGCATTGCCACATGGCAGCCACTCTCCATCTTTATGGCTGTGGTGAGGAGTTAACGACCAGCCACAGGGCCCCAGGGCTGCAGCAGAGGCTTCACACATGGACCTCTAGGCTCTACAGCAGCAGCAGTTCTCAATCTGTAGGTCACAACACACAGGAACTGTATTAAAAGGTCACAGCATTAGGAAGATAGAGAACCACTGCTCTACAGGTTCCTGAGTGGGGGAAGAGGGTAGGTATCCTGTAGGAAGCCAAGGTGGTGCTATCTGGCAGGAGCCTGCTGGGCAACCCCCAATCAGATTTTGGGCTGAGTGTAGCATTGGAGGCCCCCATGGGCCATGGCACAGGCTCCATCCCCACACTGAGGGTATGGTGGTACTGGGGGAAAGCCGCCAGGGCACAGGGAGGCAGGACACAGGGGTATGTGTGGCTGGGTGGCACCTCCCAGACATCTGGAGTGCTGGGTAGAGAAGGGACTTGGCTGGAACCTACACAGCTATGCCAGCCCCTCTGGGTGGACTTCTCACCATGCAGCTCCTCCCCTGCAGCACAACCAGCTCTATGTGCCTCCTGTCCCTACTCTATGTCCAGTTCTGGTCCCTCTGAGCTCAGGGCACACACAATCCCCTGCACCCTGCCCTGCAAGGCCCTTCATGCTTGATCACAGCTGACTTTATCCCTCTTCTGGCCCAAGGTGCTAGCCATGGTCTCTCTGCACCCTGGAGCTAGGAGCCCTGGGGTGGGGCAGATCCACACCTCCCTGGACCATCTGGTGGGTCCTCTTGCCAGACTGTGCCTTGTCTGTAGTGCGTGGCTAGCACTTAGTAGTATTTACCCATTGGATGAATAACTTCACAGGTGTCCACCTGGAATTGCACATCCACTTGGACAAAGGAGCAAAGACACATTGCCCGAGTTGGGCAAGGGCAGCACTGCCATCCAGGGCCATAGTGAGGTCAGCCCAGACTCTACAGGAGGAGGGACTCGGAGCCAGGCATGGCCTCTGGCCTGCAGTATACTTCCTGTCTGCCTTGCAGAACTCACTGCCTCCCAACTGACCTGACCCTGGCATTGGTGAGGCCTGCCTGAAAGGCCACTGAGGCAGAAGACAACTGGGCTTACTGCTGACAAAGCTCCTCAGCCTGCCAGGTTTGAGTTGACTCCAGCTCTTCGTTGGGAAGGAGACATTTTGGGGCCCATTGAGTCCTCCCTCTGCACATGGGAAGTTCATCCTGCCTCCAGTGTCCACAACCGGTAAGACTGGGAGACCAGTGGCCATTGCCTGCCATGGTAGTGTTGCTATAGAGTACTCCTGGTGCCCACATGGGCAGAACCTGAGCTGGATGTGGTGGGTGAGATTGGGCCTGGTACCTCTCAGGACAGACCTTGCCCTGTAGACATGGGTGTCTCCCTCTGTAGGGAAGGAACAGACAGAACCTAATTTAGTCAATATCATCTCTGTCCCTGTTTGCTGTGACATACAGGTCACTGGTGGGCACATTTCTGGTGGGACACAGCCTTTCAGATATTCCGGGCTTTTATCATGTCTGGACCGTAAAGTGGAAGGTGGCACTGGAATCTTTGGCTCAGTGTCCGAGTCACCCATGCTAAATCTGTTAAGTTAGCATCATCTGGCAGTGAATGAAGTAGCTCAGAGACTGTCCATGTGACCCCAAAGCTATGTCCCTTAGGGACTGTCTTGAAGACACTTGCATACTGCACAGTGCCTGGCACAGGGATCACTGTATATGTTTAGCCACCTGAGCCACCAGGGGGACACATACCCTGCACAACTCTGAGCTGTGGCTCCTGCCACAGGACACGACCAGAGGCACATCACATCTCCCTCCAAATCAGAGCACCAGGGAGGGCCCAGGAGGTGCACGGATGGGAGGCTCAGGGTCCTTTCCATGCCTCCTGGGCCTATCCCTCCCCATCACTGTGTCCCAGTGTCTCGGCTGGCCCCTGCAATATGGGGGTGGGTGGGAAGCTAGGCAGTTACCTGAGAGGCTGTCGACAATCTCGTTGTCCCTGCTGGCCAGGCCCAGGGTCGGGGGCACAAAGGCCCTTGAGCCCTGCCGGAGCCGTACCAGGGTAACCCTGGCGATGGGAGGCAAGGACTTCAGCCGTGGATAGTAGAAGGAATTTGCGGGGTGACTGGGCGAGGAGGATGTTATCTGGGGTGGAGGAAGAAGCACTTCGCACCCGGGTCTCAGAGGCACACCTTCCTACGTATGTGTCCCCCTAGGGCCAGTACCCATTGTCCAACAGAGCAGTGCTGGAACACAGCCCCCAACCTGGACTGAGGTGGGCTGGCCATGCCCCCTGCCTGGTGTATGGTGCCACAGGGTCACCTGAGATATGCAGGGTTGCATATGCTCCTCACTACAGCCCAGAGCTGGGCCTGGGAACTGGGCGTAAAGTCAAGACCCCCATGATGACTCCTCCCTGTAGTGGGAAGGGACTGCCCTGCTCGCTGCCCAACACCACAGGCAGAGCCAACTCTGGCAGGCAGAGATGCTTGACTCTGGTCCTCCTGGAATGACAAAGGGGGTTGTCGCTCACTCACCTCAGTCACTGTGTCCTGAGGGATGGTGGCAAAGTTGGGGGAGGAGAAGGTGAAACCGCTGTCTGTCCCAGCGTCATATGGGTGCAAGTCCAGGGCCACCTGCTCCTTCCAGCGGCCTCCCTCGCACAGGTCCAGACTGTCAATGCCCACAAACCAGTCGGGGCTGGGGATGATGCGCACCACGAAGGACACCTGGGTGCAGCCACCACTCAGCACCTGCTAGAGCCTCGCGCCCGGCCTGCCCGCCCTGCCGGCTGGCACTCACCAGCGAGTGCCTGGAGTGGACCTCCAGCTCCGTGGAGGTCTGCCCGGTGCCACTGGGAACAGCAGGGGCTGCAAACACCCCATGCACACTCTGGAGCTTCTCCCCGGCAGCCTCGATCTCCCTCATCAGAGTCCAGGCTTCCCCACGTTCTGCAAAATCCCGCAGCCCATTGCTGACGTACTGGTTCTTCCTCCACATACTATAGTCAGAGCTGTGTGCAGCCCCTGCAGAATGAGAGAGGCAATGGGGTCCCAGGCTCAAATCCGGTTGGCCGGCCTGAGTGGACACCACATCCCCCTTCCCTGAGTATCAGCTCTCTTGGCTGCAGGGTAGGAACCACTTTCATCCCTCCCAGATGTAGCCTGTGGATCCTGTGGCTGCCCAGACATCTGCTGATGTGACCAGTGTCCCAGCCAGGCCTCCCCCTGACCCAGCCATCCTGTGCCCAGCACATCCCTGGAGCCAAGAACATCGCCTGGCAGCACACAGTAGGAGCTTAGCTTAGTATTCCTACACCAATGTCTGTTAGATGAGAGAGTGCCCTCCAACTGTAGAGTAATGTGAAGCTGCTGTGGTGACAGTTGTCCCCATGCTATAGCCTCCTGGGTGGAATAGGGTCACTGCTGAATATCCCTCAACTAGGGACAGGGGAGGTGCTGCACTTACCCAACAGGGAAGACCACTGTGCTGGGGGCCGGAACAGCGGGTACTGCTTGGGGAAAGCTGTCTGGCTCCACTTGCCCGTAAAGGTGATGCTGTATTTGGCTAGGGCTCTAGCTGTGCAGACGGACTCTCCCCCAAAAGGCTGGCCAGAGGTGGAGCCCAGTGTGGCCAGGAGGAGAGCCCAGAGGGCCCTGCCCAGGGCGGTGGCTGGGCTGAGGTTTTCCATCACCTAGGAGCAAAGGGGGAGTATGGCCACTTGCTGGCATCATCTCCAGATGCTCCTAGGCATGCCAGCCCCCGGTATTGAGACCAGAGAGGGCTCACAGGGACACCCATGGGTGCCAGGAGCCCTGAGGGTGGTTGGGGGTGCCTGCCTGCATATCCACCCTGCTCTGTGAGCTCTCTCACTGAGTTTCCAACCCCCATCCCGGGAAGTGAAGGTACACAAGGCTAGATTTGATCAGGCTATGGGCCTGCAAGGACCAAAGGGTCACCACCAAGAGGTTACAGTACGGAGGATCCATGCATACCCCGGCAGAGCAGCTGAGCCAGCAGCCTTGCAGCTCGCTGGGCCAGTCTGGGCGCGGCTAGGGAGGCTCTGCTGTGTCCCTGCCGTTGCTGAAATCCTGGACCTCACGTAAACTTGGCCGAGTAGCAAAGCTGGGCAGCAGCCAGTAACTAGGATGGGTCTCCCTCTTGGGATTTTGCAGGTTTCTAGGCTGGGGCGAAAGTGCTAGGAGGCCCAGACCTTCTATGGGTCTGCATCCCAGGGAGGAAGGCGCTTGCTGTACTCACCGGCAAGAGCAGTGGGAGGGCAGGCAGTGGAGCTGAGGGCCGCCAGCTGGTCCCAGCGTCCCGACAAGAGGCTCCCGTTCCTCCTAGCCCTGTGGCCCCCCTGGCCTAAAGAGAGGGGCCCACAGGATATCGCAGGAAGGAGCAGGGTCAGGGCTGCAGAAGCCACACACTCTGTCCTCCAGCTCCTCCGACTGCCTCACAAAGCTTCTCTCAGGCTGGATCACCCCTCCCCTTGCCACCGCCGCTGCTGCTGCCGCACCCCTTTCTTTGTCCGCCGGTCCCTCCCCTGCACTCCTCCCTCGGCTTTCTCCCTCCCTTTCCCTCTCTCTCCCTCTCTTCTTTTCCCTCAAGCCCCTTCCTGGAGTCTCCAGGGTGCTACTACAGGGAGCTCTATATTCCTATATGGGGACAGCAGGGAGGGGGGACACAGGGCTCTTGTTTGGCTGAATTAAAGCCCAACTACCCCTTCCTAAGCAGGGAGCCACTTGGCCTGTGTTGGTGTGGGCAGGAGAGCCACCAACTTTCAGCTCAGGCATCCCTGGCTCTTGGGCACCTGAATTTCAACCTCTTCTTCCCTGTCATGGCCTAAAACTGTGAGAACTGGGAATAGCCCCAGGCACTGTAGACCCCTTCATGGACTCAGAGTCAGTGCTCAGGGGGCAGGGCCACCCTCCCAAGAACCTAGGCTGTCACACTGCCTGCCTCTGGGAAGTGCTAACGGATTCTGAAGCTGGTGGCTTAATGATAGGAGAGCCTATCTAGAGCCCTGGTCACAAGATTTGGAAACCAGGAGGGAGGAGAGTAGAGACAACTTGCTCAACAGTTCCACCTCTGCCTCTGCTCAGTGGAATTGCCTCGAGCTTCTAAGCTTACACAAAACTCCTCATTTACAGAGCGCTGTTAATGTTTCCATGTTCAGAGAGAGGGAAAATGGATAGAGTGAAAAAGGATAGAATGCAAATAAAAACGAACGACCTAACCTATATTTGAACTAAATGTAGTTGTAGCTCTGAATACGGTGTCAGGCCCCAGGGCCTCAGGCCAAAGACAAATTCCAACTGAGGACTCTGCACACCCTTAAAAGCCATTGAGGACCCCAGAGAACTTTTATTTGTATGGGTTATACCTATTAATACTTACTATGTCTAAATCATAACAGAAATGTCCAGAACACTTATTAATACCCTTAAGAGTAACAACGGCTATTACATGATAACATAAAAGCATAATGTTTTATGAAAACTCTATTTTTCAAAATAAAAAACCTACTGAGAAAAGTGGCATTGTTCTATACCTTTGTGCATAAGCTGGGCAGCGCACCTGCATCCCTGTTCATGTCTACATCCACATGGTGGGACATGTTCCATCAGTCGAAGTGTGTGAAGAGACTTTATAGGGATGTGTAGCTCCTTCTATAGCCTTTCCACCACTCCTCACAGAAGTGAGCATGGGCTCCTTGGAAACACAGCTGATTCTGAGTTAGAGAAAAGAAGTGGGAGACATACTTGGACACCATCGTGTGCTAGGAGCCAGACACACACGGTTCACCTGGTATAGTTTGGTTCTCAGCCCAGATGCAGCAGTGGCTACAGCCTTGGATCTCACCCCAGCTAACAGGAGGCCAAGGGGACCTGGAATCTCCACTCCCAGCCCCCACCCCTCACATGCCTCAGGAAGGCTCTGCAATTTGGGGGTCCAGCTGGGATGGGGATCGACAGGTCTGGGGCACCCCTAGCAGGGCTACAGCTGATATGCCTGTGGCAGTCACAGGAGGGTGCTGGGCTGGACCAGAAAGTGGCCAGGGAAGAACTTCTTTCCATGGTGGCAGTGTCCCCCTGAAAAGCATGCCTGAGAAGGGTCATGGACATAGGAAGGGTTCTTTGCTGTGCTCAGAGAGGGTAGGGAGAGGTGGGCTTAATTTCTGGAACCTACAGCCCCTGAGGTTGTGTTGCACTGAGGTCTTAGGTGGAGCCATCACTGCACTGAGGGGGGACCGTCCTCCAGGTCAGCCTACATGACTGTGTGCTTTCCACAATTCCCCAGGAAGCCCTTTGACCCTCAGACTCCCTTTGTAAACCTGGATGCCATGTGCCACTCCTGCCGAGGCACACATGGAGTACCACTCTGTAGGGTGCCCTCACACAGAAGGACTTCCGTGCACAAGGGCAGGAGCCTACAGCATCTGTACCCATTCACTCAACACGTGGACACCCTCTGCGTCTAGAGATGGGGCCACAGAAGTGACCCTAGTACACTGGAGACTGTGGTGGTCTGGAGGTGGAGAGGATACGCTGTGTAGACTGGAGTCTGTTACTCATTAAGTGTTTAGTTAGCCGGTTGATGCTACTATCCTCACTAAAGTTCACTCAGTGTCCTCTGAGGACAGGGCCTTCCTGGAGGTCACTCCTAGCCACTAGCCCCAAGGTGGTTGCCAGAGGAGTGTGGTGCAGGGCTGTGGCTGCAGCTGGCCAAGCAGTCCTGTCCACACCCAGTCCAGTCTCCCATGGCCTCACAGGCCTCCCCTGGTCACTGTAGCTCAGACAGTGTGAATAATTGACAGGCCCAGCACTCCCAGGGTGTTGGCAATTTTTAAACCGTGTCTGTTAACCAAAATGAGTTGCTAATGTTGGACTTTTGGATGAGTACAAAGTGTTGTAAAGTTCCTTCCCAACTGGGATGGGAGGTTGGAGTTTGTGTGGCTTAAATTGGATCTCAGCAGGCGGGAAAGGTTTCCATGGACCTGTCTGTGAGCTGCCCTGGGTGAAGAGTGTGTGGCAGGGTCAGCAGGCTCCTTGCCCCTAGACATATCTTATTCCACCCAAGAACCCAAGATACCCTCAGGGCACTGGGGTTCCTGCCTGGGTTGTGGCTGGGTCTTTGGGTCTGAGAAACAGCATCCCCCTCAGGGCTGACCTGTGCCTCCCATGGGCGGGACATGGGTCCGCCAGCCTGACAGGGGTATAGTTGGGACTCCCAGCCATGTCTTCCATGCCACCAAAATGTCAGGCATCAGTAACTGCCTCCCCAGGGGGATCCTGCCACAAATGCCAAAACTCAGGTGCAGGCACCCACACAGCCAGCCCCACATGGGGGCAATTCCCTGCTCTGTGCTCATCCACAGACATATGCGGTGGTCTCTGCACACACCTGCTCTCCCCAGGTGGTTTCAACTTTGTGGCCTGGTGTTCCCAAGAATGGGCCAGGCAGGTCCTGCCTCCCCTTCTCTTCACCTTACTGGGTGGCTGTGCTGGGACACCCCTAGTTTGCTTACACCCCAGGGCCTTGCTCTCACAGCTCCCTCATCCTAAGGAAATGTTACCCCTGGCTCCCCATTGTCCCAGGCTCTCTACCCCCAGGCCTCCAGCCAAAGGAGCACCTGCCAATTATGGCTTTGTTTTCAGTCAGGGCTCCTACAGAGAAATAAATCTGCTCTAACTAGTGTGAGCAGACGGAGATTTACACCGGGTGTTAAGTGGCTTATAGAATTGTGAGGAAGGTTAAAGAAAGATTGTTCAGACTTCCAAGGGCGACTGACTTCCAAAGCTTCTGGGCAAGACTGCCACCCACAGGGGCCAGCTGTGGCCTCCTCCTGGCCCATCCCTCCTGCTTAATGCCATTCTAGGTTCAAGTTTTTGCTACCACTCCTGGTGGGAAGAGCCTACCTAAATCAGGTCAGGTTTTCCAGGGTCTTGGACTCAGCTTTGCAGCCTCTGCAGTCGAGGGAGGCACCTGGAAGAGGGGTGGGAACAGATGGGGAGCCACAGTCTCCATGGTGCCCACTTGCATTCACTCCTACCCAATTTACAGAGCTAATGCTAAGCACACACCTCGCCTGGCTGCTCACCACCTGGAAGCATGACTGGACCCCATGCCTGGCTCATAGCATTCCCACCAGTATTACGGCAAATCCTCCAGTCCCATATCAGGGAGGCAGCCTGGCCACAGCTAGTGGGCCGTAGAGCTGGGGAAAGAGCCTACTGCTTCAGTATAAATCCCATTTTTCCTCCTCTATGCTACAGTCCACCTCTCTTAAATGTGGGCCTGTTTTCAGTAGCATTTCCATAGTGTCTTTATTCATCCAAATTATGGGGACCTCCACAAAAATGACAGAGTAAGGGGCAGTGCCTGTGGGTCAAAGGAGTAGGGTACCAGCCCCATATACCAGAGGTGGTGGGTTCAAACCCAGCCCTGGCCAAAAACTGCAAAAAAAAAAAAAAAAGAAAAAGAATGACAGAGTAAGGACCTTTGGGAGCTCTTCGTCAAAGCAATGAGACAACTGGCAAAATGTCAGAACCTCTTTTCTGATCTGCCATCTGTGGTGGAACCACCACCAAGATGCAGATTTTTATAAAAACCCTCATAGGAAAGACCAGCACTCTTGAGATTGAACCCTCAAATACAACAGAGAATGTACAGGACAAGATCCAGGAT